TGTGAGACAATTTTATACTAAGATTATCCATTTTAAAAATCAGTCAAATATATATTTATAAATTAAATCTACAAATATATGTATACAATGTTTAATTTTTTAATAAACATCAAATAAAAATTGATCAATATATTTATTTATCATTATCAATAATCAATAAATCCCAAATTTATCGATCAACGTCCCAACCCTGTTCCATCACTATGGTTTGGTACATTCTAAGTTTGACCTTTAAATATCCAATCACATCGCATTTGCCACGTCCCCCGCAACCCTTGCATAGGGCCAAATTTGGTGAACTCGAAACAGAACAAATATTCAATGATGCGGTATCTATTAGGAGGTAATCTATGATTATTTTAAATGACTCTTCATTTTAATAGACACTAGTAATTCATATTATTGTATTTGTTAATCAATCTTTATATATAAAAAATATGTGTCACATGGTTTGTCCACGATGAACTCTTAAATGACTGAACTGATTTCAATGAAATTTGCACACTGTGTGCAGTTTGGTCCAACTTGAGATATAGCATAGTTTTTATCCCGATAAGTGACCCTCAATATTTCTTATTACGAATTTAATAATTTTTATAGGACACAGGGTCGTCGGAAAGAGCAGAACAACGTCTGCCTAGTCAGCTAGTATAATAAATAATGCATTATATAATTTTTAAACTTGCTAACAATATAATAAACAAACCCTACAATTATCCTCCTGTCTGTGTTCGTCTCATTCTCTCGAGGTTTCGGTTTTGAAGGTTTCACTTGTACAGAGTGTAAACTGCACACATCATATTTTTTTTTATAGAACAACAATGACAATCAAGCATTCAGTCCACATGATGGTAAGTGAATATTGTAGCCCATAAACATCTACATCTACCCTAGATTAAGAATCAAAACAGGTATTAACTTTGTCTAAAAACAGTATGCATGTAAAATAACTAGGTACAAATATTTTAAACTTTGAAGTAAAAGGCACCTTTCAAAAGGCACATGTCATAAGACTTATTAAATATAATACATAGATGACCCTGTTGATATCTATAAGTTCCTTCTATAATGTGTGTTATACATGACATTGTCATATTAATTGAGTGAACATAGGAGATAAAATAGGTAACAAAAGTGTAAAGGAAGGAAGGAAAGGAGTGTTGAAACTAGGGTTGCCAGATCGGAAGGGCAAAATATCTGGACAAAATTTGAAAATGTCGGAATTTTGGGGTAGTTATCGGGAGAAATAAATATGAAAATTAAAAACGTAAAATAAAAAAAATATTTTTTAAATTAAAAGGCTACAAAAAGACTTAACATTGTTGACATATAACCAATTTAATTACACTAAAATTTTAGGTTGTCACATGTATTTGGCATTGGACTTTACTGAGTCCCCCACTTTAGGTCCTTTAGTAGTATTCAGAAATGATTTAAAATTCAAACAATTTACTTGAAATAATTTAATTCAATTACTAACGAATTCTCTCTTTGGTATATAAATTATATACCAAACTAAACACCCCTTTACAGTATACATTGCTTATAGGAATCAGCAACACAATTGATATATTATTTTTCAAGTTTTAGGTTGTTTTTGGTTGCATTTGCGCTTTTTTAACAAAAAAAAATTATAAATGCCTTAATTTTGTAATTTTACGTCCTTTTTGGAAGATTTTTAAGTGTTTCAAAGTCAATATCGTTTGAAATATTAAGTACGTCAGGCAATATGGATAACTCTTCCTACGTAAATAAATTTGCACCTTTTAAAGACAATACAGCGTGTTTTTATATAGAGTTCTCAGAAAAATAGCGTTCTTGCAAGTATTCAATAGCTTGTTTTAAAAAATGTTCAGCTTTGACGCAAAAAAAGAGTTTTCTCACTATTAGAAACATTCCTTAATAAGGTTATTTTTGTACTATACCTAAGAATTTGTCATCCAACGTGTTTTAGAGATGACTCATTAGTTTTTTCATTACACTTTCAAGTTCTAGGACAGTGCATGCAGCACTTTCCAATGCTAAAATTGCTACTTGGAACTCCAACATTACGTTACAAAGTATAAATACACTTCTGAAATCCCCTTCCTGTTTGCATTTGTCAACCCGTTCACTATTATTATCAATATGGCTGATACTTTCTGTTACAAAGTCCCATATCAATATCTCTTTTCGACATTGGTCTTCCCCTTTCAACATAAAATACTGCTTTACAGCAGACTAACAATACAGTAAATGATCTAAAGCAGGCAAAAGAGATACCCATCTTGTCGGGACATGTCGAAGAACAACGGAAAAGCGTGTGACAATTTTAAATTATTATTTTGTATAGAACTTTCCGAGAAGCTATTTGTCTGGAGATTTTTAATTTTGTCGGGAGTCATGAGATCATTTAAAATGTCAGGAGAATCCAGACGAATCCTGACCATCTCGCAACCCTAGTCAAAACGATGTGATATTCTGAACTCCTATAGTCCAGCACACACTTGGCAATCTAATCTAGAAGGTAAATTAGTTAAGTCTTTAACCACAATGATGAATGTAACTAGTTAAATTCGCCATCGATACACTAGAAGAAGAATATAAATGAATTTGCGATAGCAGTTATTTTCAGTCTAAAAATACAAGACTCAATAACTAAATAAACATTATACTCAGCACTGCGGCGTACGATTTGAAGATAATCATTTTTGTAAAAAGCTAGCCAATACATTTCTTAAGCGTCACACAAATATTAAATAGACACAATTACCATTTTAATACTGCAATTGGCCACGGGGAAACCTGGTTTTCGCTGCATCTTTGTCGATGCAAGTTTTGTAAGCTATAAAATATGAATCAAATATCAAGGTTCCATTAAATAATTACACAACACTACACTTCTTTACTTAAATTATATCAATAACTAAAATCTACCCAATCTTTTCACTGAAGATATTTAATATTTACAACCGCAGTTTAATTACAATTTGCACATCCCAACAAAACAACTATTGACATTTTGCGCGGATCTATTTGCTTTCACAAACTATTTGCTGTTGACTTAAAGGCGAAGGGATTTGTACCTATACAGCCTTATCTTAAGTATATTTAAGTAATTTTTAGCCGACTTCAAAATAGGAGGAGGTTCTGACAAATGATACCTTCGTCAATTTTAAACTGATTTTTATGATTATTTTTTTATTAAGTAGGTTTTACTTCAGGGCAGCTCAGATGGTTAGCACTCGCTGTAAGCTTCACAGTACTCGAGCAACCCGGGTTCGATCCCCACCGGCACCAATGAAACTGTTAATTGCAATTTTAAGTGCTGATTTACCACGTGCTCGGCGGTGATAGAAAACATCGTGAGAAAACCTGCATGTCTGAGAAATAAGAAAAAAAATATTTCGAAGACATGTGAAGTTCGCCAATACGCGTTGGGGCAGCGTGGCGTACATTTCTTTGCCCTAAAACCCACTCAGAATTGAGAGGAGGCCTGTGCCCAGCAGTGGGACGTAAAATAGGTTGCAAATTTACTTACAACTTTAGTTCAGGGTTGGTCCCTTATTATTTATTATGTAAACTAGTAAGTATGTTATTATACGAGTATTTTTATTTAAACTAGTATATTCTTGAATTTGTTATACTTCTTAGTCCATTCAAAGCGATGAAAAAAATTAAACAAAAATCGGTTGTCTGTAAAATCGGTTTACTGACGATAGTTGAATGTGACAACGTCATAAGAAAATGTTGCTATAAACAATTGACACCACATTCACTTTTCACTGCACTTCATACTTGACGAAAACATGTAAATGTATTATTGTATAGCAGCTGTCCATGCGGACGCATCGCTCACTCGAGTAGGAGAGAGACAGATGTCGAACGCTGCCGAACGCAGAGGCCGATTGTGCCTCTTTGTCGCTCGTTCCGCGCTCTCGCTTGCACTTCAAGCCTTAAATGGAACGCCTCAGAGTGAGGTAACGCCGCATGAGTCATGTTTTTTCGTGCGTGTAGCTTCATCGAATTATAAGACGTTGTCACGTCAAAATTAAGTAAATGCAGACTTTACAGAACTAAAAAGGAAAAAATATTTCCATATAATAGCTTTTGAAGTCGCTGCAAGATTTTAGTAATATTGGTGATTTAAATGACAACATAACCGAGAAGATATACTGAGTCATTATTAAAGTAATTATTTAAAAGTCTGGGTATTTGAACTATTAAAGATTTAAAGAAGATAATGTAACGAGTGCTGCGATGGTGATATTAAAAGATACTAAAATTGATGAATTGATAATATTAAATATGATATTAAAATTAAGTCAAATATCAGTTAAAGCTCCTTAAGATACTATCGTCATTAATTGTCCGCTGGTAACCCAAAATGTCGCCAAAATTTTACAACAACTTAGTTAGATGCATTAGCATAATATTATGAAGAATTTTGTGAACAAAATACATCATGTCTCTCAAGGCTGCATGATCTCAGACCTTTGCATATCTTAATTGTCAAATCAACCACAACAAATAGCTTAACGTTAAATTCCGGTTCCGGTTCCGGCGGGTTCAGGGTTTCGGCAGAATTCTGAATCAAGTCAAGTGTAATAACAATTATATAACGATTATATTAAAATTTATAAATATAACAATTAGTGCAATTATTAGCTAAGTCCACAGAATACTTTACTCCTAGCGGAGAAGAATGTTAACTCCATATAAAATGGATAGGAACAAAATTCAGCGCCATCTACCGTTGGAGCACATACAACAAATTTGAGCGGGAAAATTCGAATCGCAGAAATTAAATTTTTTTCATCGATCTGGTTTTTCCAAGATTTATTCTATTAAAAAATATGTTTCTATCATTAAACATTATTTCTATAAATTTATCTCTAGAATTATAATAATTAATTATTTTAGAAACATATTTCCTAATAGAATAAATCTTGGAAAAACCAGAATCGGTCACAGTTATGTATTTCTGACGAGGAATACAAGTTATAGTAAAATATAATTTATGCTTACAAATTCATTTATTCATAACAAAAGATATAGAAAAAAAAAACAAATATAATTAGCCTATTAAATTGTTTTAAATTCATTTAAGTTAGTATATTGGAATTACAGGTGTAGCGTAACTTAATATTTAATGAAACATGTTTAAATTATGCAAAATTCTTACAATATTCACACAGAAAATAACTACAATAATATGTAATCAATTTAAATAAAATATAAAATATGTCGACAATTTGAATTTTGTTTTAATAGAAAAATTGGCCTTTACATCTAAAGATGATTTATACAGCGTCAATAATTTTACAACAGCTATTCTAGACGCTGTAGTGCCTGGGACATCACGAATCCAAACTAATAAGTTTGGATTGCAAGTATAGTAAATCTTAATTTATGTTTACAAATTAATTTCTCCATAAAAAAAGATACGGAAAAAAAATATAACTAAACTATACAAAAATGTTTTAAATTCAAATAAGTTGGCATATTGGAATTACAGTTTACAAAACAATGTTTAAATTATGCAAACTTCTTGCAATTTTCACATAGAAAATAACTATAATAATATATACTCAATTTAAATATAAAAATGTCGACAATTTGAAACAGAAACATAAACTTGTTTATTCAATATAGATTATATATAATACTTATTGAAAATCACTCTTTTGTTTAATTACCACTGGTTCGAAAAAAAACCTCTGTCCTGGGAAGAACCAGCAAGAAACCCAGCGGTTTTTTTTAAATAGCTTACAATCATGTATGTTACACAATTAACAACACAACAAATTAGAAATAGCTTGGTAGCGATCACCTCATTCCCAGGGGTTATTATCATCCATAAATTCCTTAACTTTATAATAACCCTTTTTATACAAACTTAGTTTAATAAAGTTTTTGAACTTTGAGCAAGTCAAATTTTGTATATTTTCTGGAATTTTTTTGTAAAAGCGTATAACTCGCCCCAAGAATGAATTACTGACTCGGTGGAGTAGAGTAACTGGTACTATTAGCTTGTGTCTGTTCCTAGTATTTACAGAATGAATATCACTTATGTTTGTAAAACTACTTTTATTTTTGTGTACGTACATTACATTTTCATAAATGTATTGAAAGGCCAAAATTAATATATTAATTTTCTTAAATATTTGTCGCAGCGACTCTTTAGGCTTTAAATTATAAATTGCTCTTATAGCCATCTTCTGTAAAACAAATATAATTTCAGTGTCAGCTGCGTGTCCCCACAGCAAAATACCATACGACATTACGCTATGGAAATAGCTAAAGTAAACTAGTCTAGCTGTTTCAACACTGGTTAGACCTCAATAATAATAATAATAATAAGGTTAGAAATAACCTCAATAAATTATTTAATGTGCTAGGTGATGGAAGGCACCACATCCTTCTTAATAATCGGTAGCACGTTGGGGACCTTTTAAATAACCACAATGCGATTACTTTTTCGTCGAATGTCCACCTTCTGCCTTTAAATTTCTTTTTATCATTTTTCAATTGAGCCTGTAGCATCAGCGCAAAAGACGGCGTCAGCCTCTGCATTAGTTTTGCTACAGACTTATTTTTTTCTAAAATGTTGAGGGCATCTCCTTTTCTCATCTTCTGAATTGTTCTTTTTAGTTGACAAATTTTTTTCACTTGTCTTCTACATTTGTTGTATAAATAATTTTCTCTGTCAGTTTTTTTAAAAGTTTGTTTCTGTATTTCTTTACAGACAATCATCTGAAACAAAAGCATTAACAATTAATTACTAATTTGTGCCTTTGAGTGAGAGAGTGAGTGTGGAGGTACCTACTTATTATGGATAATTTTATTAATTAGATATTTTAATTGCTCTTTTTAGATATAATCTAGACCCCATTTTCTAAAAGAAATTACAAGAATTGAGATGATGATTAATCTAGATAAAACTGTTAATTATTACCAACTCTAAAGAAACAATATTGTTTACTTTTATTGTAGGTACCGATTTTTCATTTGGAATGGCTGGTCCAATAATTTTATACGAGTTTATATGAGTAGTATAGTTGTAGCACGAATTGGTCGGCTCGACAGGGGAAGGACCACGCTCTCACAGAATACCGGCGTAAAATAGCAGCTGCTGTGTTTCGTATGGTGAGTGTAGAGAACCGGAGACCCTTTTTACTGGAAAAGAGGCATTCCATCTTAGTCCTCACGGGTGACAACGCATCTGCATCTTGAGTCTTTATTGAGGATAGATGTAGATGTCTATGGGTCACAGTAACCACTTACCATCAGGTGTACTGTGTGCTCGTTTGTCACCCTTATTCCATAAACAGTTTGTCAGCCTATCCTATAAAAAAAGACATTTTTGGGTAGGTATTTGAGGAGCGCTAAAAACTTGTCAAATACCTATTACCTACCCAAAAATGTCTACCAGCTCTTATACAATTTGTTTGTCACCCTATCCTATAAAAAAAAAATTTGCTAAGGCTGAACACTGTTTACAAATTGATTTCACTAACTTATGCTAGTAAAACTAAAATTATTCATGTCGGCTCTAACTAGCTACTCAATTTTGATAAGAAAATCGAAGTAATCGCGCATAGACACCAGTGCTTGCATGTTTTGGAAACAAATAGGACCGGTTGCAAATTTGAGTTGTTAGAGCAGGTTCCTCGTTACAAATACTTAGGACTAGAAGTCGATAACTGGGGTTATCATATTGACACAATTTGTGACAAACTGAGAGCAATGTTAGCTAAATTTGCTATCTTGAAATACAAAGTACCATTTAAAATATTACTAAATCTATATAATGCACTCGCAGAGTCAATAATTTCATATGGGATCACTAGCTATGGTAGGACATTTAAAACTTATTTGGACAAAATATACAGCCTTCAACTTCGGTTTTTAAAAATTATAACTCCTAATAAAATTAAAAATCAATCTGCTCCGATGACGATGTATTGCCCTTATTTAAATATTGTAAAATCTTACCCGTTCATATAAAAATAAAAATGTGGCTATTAATTGCACAATTTACTAACAAAGAACTACAAATAAAAGTAAATCATAAAATAACGACACGGAAAGTAGTTCAATCAAAACTAGAAATACTATTTTGATTATATTTAATACCAACTCTCATTAACGACATACCAAGTAAAACCCAATTAGAAATAACGGATAATATTATATATATAGGATTATATTGTTTTTCTTTTCATTAAATAAATAAAAAAAAAATTAAGGTGATAGCTGTCAAAAGGTATTTCTTAGATTTCGTGGATAGGATAGGTACTTACTTTATCATTCTGAATTTCAGTAATCATACTCTCCTTAACTGACGGGTCTGGTTGACACTTGACATTTTGGGCTAGAGCTTGAGCGTGCAAAATATTTTATAGGTATATGTGTTGGATTAGCAGAAGCTTACGTCATATTAGCTATCTGTGGGGCAAATTTCAGCCTAAACCCCATCCATTGGTTTGAGCTGTGCGTGTTGATAGGTCAATCAGTCCAGTCAGTAACATTTTCTTTCTAAATATATAATAGATATAAATGTAGAAAAGGTAGGTACTTACTTTGTGGTGCTGTGTATAAGAATTTGTAATGTTCTTAAGAACATTGCAAAAAGATGGACCTGGTTGACACTCGAGATCTTGAGCTGCAGCTTGATTCTGCAAAATAATAAGTCATTTATTTTCCAGACTAAGTGTAGCGCTAGTGCTACATATATAATCTGTTTGGTGGACTATTACAAGATATTATTATTATTATTTTTATAATACTTTGAGGTCTACATTCAAACGGCTAGTTTATATGCAACATTAAAAAGGATATTAAGTGGTTTTAAAACTATAATGAAGAATATAATAGGATTTAAAACTTTTTTAGCATTTTTATAAGGGTTTCTTTTTTCGTCTTGAGGCTAGTTGAGGCACAGAACCCTAAAAATGCTAAGAACGGTATTTTTGGCTAGTACCATAGAAGTGCACCTGCTACTTCAAAATTAGGTACATTGCGAGTAGTAGAAATTGCAACTGTACCACTTCAGTGGAATAATAGCAAAAAGTAGCCAAGGATTATTATTTAATGTTTTATTGGTAGTATACTTACTTTGTGATATTGCATTTCAGTAGTCGTAATATTCTCAACAAGGGAAGGACCTGGTTGAGACTTGAGATCTAGAGATGAACTTGATCCCAGATATTCTTGCAATGCTAGAGTTTGATCCTGAAAAATAACATTATCAATTATTATTTAGACAAAGTTAGGGACAAAAGTAAGAGTGCTACAACAATACCTAACATTTTTATTGAATTTGAATTACATAAATAAAAAAGAATGCCTACATTGAAATATATAAAATATTAGCAATCTGCCTCTGCTTCGCAAGGGCGATTTCTAGATATCGACAAAAGCACCACCTACCGGGTTCAAATGTGAACCTAAACCATCTAGAAACCCATTCAAACACAAAAAAAATTATCACAATAGGTTGAGCCGTTTTTGAGTTTTAGCAAGACCAATGGACAGCAATCAATTTGCATTTGGTACATTGCGAGTAGTAGAAATTGCAACTGTACCACTTCAGTGGAATAATAGCAAAAAGTAGCCAAGGATTATTATTTAAATTTTTATTGGTAGTATACTTACTTTGTGATATTGCATTTCAGTAGTCGTAATATTCTCAACAAGGGAAGGACCTGGTTGAGACTTGAGATCTAGAGATGAACTTGATCCCAGATATTCTTGCAATGCTAGAGTTTGATCCTGAAAAATAACATTATCAATTATTATTTAGACAAAGTTAGGGACAAAAGTAAGAGTGCTACAACAATACCTAACATTTTTATTGAATTTGAATTAGATAAATAAAAAAGAATGCCTACACTGAAAAATATAAAATATTAGCAATTTGCCTCTGCTTCACAAGGGCGATTTCTAGATATCGACAAAAGCACCACCTACCGGGTTCAAATGTGAACCCTAAACCATCTAGAGACCCATTCAAACACAAAAAAATTATTGAATTGAAATGAAAAAGTATTGAATATTGATATGGGTTAATGCAACTGACATTGATGCCATATTTGTTTTGCAAAAGAGAGCCGTATGGGCGATTTATAACTTAAATTGTAAAGTCCCTTAGAGAAAATTTTAAAGAAAACTTTGGGATCGCAATATATTTATTAAAATGTAATGTATGTATATAAAAACAAATAGCAGGATTCTATGTGTAATGTGGGGGCCGCAGTAGTTGTACAACAAAAACACTATTAATGTAGAAGTTAAAGTAACTTGATACCTAATATGTATATGAAAAGTACAAACAAACTTACCGAATAGCATTTTTAGGCCCAGGTTTAGGAAACCGAGACAGTTTAATGCCTGGCACTTGTTTGGAAGATCGCCCACATTTTGCACATTTCCTATAAATGTTGGGTGCCATAGTGAAATAGGTAAGAAGGTGGATATCTAATTAAGTTCACAATTTTACACAAACTATGAAAAGAGTCCGTATCTCACTTGAGTTTATCAACTTGTCACCAACAACACTGCTCTGGTTCGACCGACACTCATGCGGAGGAGCGAAATTCACTCAACTCAACGCAATAATAGAAGTGTAATAAAGTAACAAATTAAAGGAAAAACAAAAACAACATCAATCAACAAATCGTCACAAATCGTTGAAATTTGAAGTGAATGAAAACGTGCACGCTTGTTTTTTTAATTTTTAAGTGCTGCCATTTTATAAATTAAATATTCTTCTATAAACATGGACAAGATAGCCGGTATATTATAGGATGCATTTCGGTGAGTGTGCGCAGGAATTACACGCTTTAATCCTTTCCTCTCCTTTCCGTCATTGGACAACCAGGCGGTCGGCGGGTCTTCACCCCTTAGTTGCCGATATTCTACGCATTATTATTTGCTTCGTCTTTTGTAATGCAAAGCAGTGGAATAATTTGCCAGCGTTTATCTTTCCGTCCGAATACAATCTAGGTGCCTTCAAGGCAAGAGTGAAAAGGCTTTTGTTACGCTAAGACAGTGCGATTTACCATCTAGGGCTACATCACCACTTACCACCAGATGGGATCGTGGTGAAGCACTGGTTTATAATAAGTTAAAAAAAAGATCTGTTGCTGATGCTTTAATCAAGTTTATTTACTGATCAAACGTAATCAATATTTTTCTTTATACCAGTTTGTACAACTACCAGTTTGTAAAGCGCAGTCTATAGGACGATTTTTTGGAAAACTCAGATAATTCCCAAATTAACAAAATCGAAAGAAAATCCAGAATAACAAATTAAAAAAAAAAAGCAACATAGTATTTTAAAATCAATAGATAGATACAAAATCAATTGGTGAATACTCTCATTTTAGAGGTTTTCAAATAACTTGGCAATTTTGTGGTAGAAATCTGGTAAAACAAATGACCAAATAAATAATTTTGTTACCGCGCCATCTACGCGGTTTACTAAGTACTACATCGATCTGCGAAGCCGACGTAGTTCTTAGCGAATTTAGTCGATGACGCTACTGTTCATTAATGCCGCATAGGTCCCATACATTAGTTGACAAGGCCTGGCTAAGTCTCACTATGGCACAATGTTTGGACATCGATGGAAGTGTATTAGAAGGGGTATGATTAATATTTAACCACAGATACTTTTCAAAATAAAATGCTTACAAATGTACAATAAAACATTAATTTTTATTACAGGGTGGCCAAATTCTTCGCATTTCTATATCGGTCAGCGCTATTTTAGGAATACCTGTACGTGTTATCAATATTAGACAAGGGCGCAGCAAGCCAGGATTAGCAGCTCAACATTTAAAAGGTTATTTAAATAATTTGCATTTTTACAGAAAATAAGTAGTGACAATAACACGCGAATTTGAATAATCCGGATTTTCATGTTTGGAACCCGGCTATTTCAGAATATTAAATATACTAATGTTGTAGCGTATAACACCATAATCTTTGTTTCAATTCAAAGAAGTATAGTTAAAGTTTATAGTTAACAAAATGTAACTTCAAATTATGTGAATTTTAGTTAACTAGCGATTCGCCCCGGTTTCGCACTGTAGATTTCTGTATCTCGACAACAATGCCACCTACCGGGTCCAATTGTGAATATAAACCATTCTCTAATTAAAATCACACAAAATTTCATCAAAATTGCTCCAGCTGTTAAGGAGGAGTTCAGTCACATTCACATGGACAGAAGAATTATAAAATATATAATATGCATGTATTATACATATAAACTTTTTTCTTTATAGAGTTTATAGGGTGACAAACACACACACAGTTTACCTGTTGGTAAATGGTTGCTGTGGCCCATAGACATCTACATCCATCCTTGTTTGTGTGTTGTCACCTGCGAGGACTAAGATGGAATGCCTCTTTTCCAGTAAAAAGGGTCTCCGGTTCTCTACACTCACCATACTAAACACAGTAGCGTTAAGCTGCTATTTGATGCTGGTATTATGTGAGAGCGTGGTCCTTCCCTGGTCGAACCGACCCATTCATGCTACAACTATACGACTAATTTATCTGCAGCATGGCTCTACCATGTTTGAATTATTCCTCTTGAATTATGTCTATTGATGAAAACCACATCAAAATCCATTGCATGTGTCCATTAAAAGATCTAAGCGTACAGATGATGGGAAGTGACTTTGTTTTATACTATGTAGAAATATGTTGTGTTCTAGCTGTTTGTTACCATGACCTGATCTTCATTTCTTCAGGTATTCAGTTGGTAGCAGATATGTGTCAAGCAAAGCTTAAAGGAGCCAGCATTGGATCTACAGAAATTGAGTTCACACCTGGTGGAAAAATCAAGGGAGGACATTATGTTGCTGATACACAAACTGCAGGGTAAGTATTTATTATAAATTTTGTATTTAGGAAAATATATAATAATAATAAGCCTTTAGTCAGACAAAACAGTATTTCTTTGGTATTCATATATTTTTCTTTTCTTCCATTTTTATGTGCCTGTTTGCCAGGTGGCAAAGGCCTCCAATCTTCTCCATTCTGGCCTTATTATGGCCACTCTACCCCATGTAATTCCTGCGACTTGTCTAATGTCGTTATTCCACCTTCTCTGTGGTCTACTTCTCCTTCTGTATCCATCTCTTGGGTACCATTGTGTTATTATTTTACTCCATTTCCACTTTTGTCTTTTTATTTTCAGAGTTATATCCTAGACTTTAGTTTTGTTTCTGATGCCGCTATTTCTTATTTGGTCCATACTTTTTTTTTATTATTCAATATAAATCACATGAGTAATTCTTATTGAAAGTCATTTTTTACTTTACCACTGGTTCGAAAAAAAACCTCTGTCCTGTGAAGAACCACCAAGAAACCCAGTGGGACTTTTTTTTTTAAAAGCATATTTTACATTAAAGAGCCTGTACACTTTCCGGGACCCTGTTGTAATAGAGTATATATTGCCCCAAGAATCAATTACTGACTGTGGGGTCGAGAAACTGGTATCACTAGCTTGTGTTTGTTCCTAGTGTTTACAGAATGTATATCACTTTTTTTACTAAAACTACCTTTGTTTTGTGAACATACATTAAATTTTCGTAAATATACTGAGAGGCCAAAGTTAATATATTTATTTCTTAAATTTATCTCTAAGAGACTCTCTCGGTTTTAGGTTGTAAATAGCTCTAATGGCCCTCTTCTATAAAACAAAAATAGTTTCTGAATCAGCCGTATTTCCCCATAGCAAAATCTCATAAGACATTATGCTATGGAAATAACTGAAATAAACTAATCTAGCCGTCTCGACGCTAGTGAGACCTCTAATCTTTTTTACAGCATAGGCTGCATAACTTAGTCTGCTTGCTAGTTTGGACATATGGGGGCCCCACTGAAGCTTTGCGTCGAGAGTGATGCCAAGAAAAACAGTGGTTTCAACAGGGCTCAGTTCTTTTCTATGTAAAAACACATTGGTACTCAGATTTTTAACATTTGTTGTTGTAAATTTAATACATTTAGTTTTATTTCCGTTTAAATGTAAATTATTAACGTTAAACCAATGCACTAATTTTGATATAGCATTATTCATTTCGTCACATTTAAATGATTGACGTTTAAGTTTAAAAATCAAGGAAGTATCATCAGCAAATAATACTATATCATGATTATCCCCTATAAGAGAAGGTAAGTTATTAATATACACTAGAAATAGGAATGGGCCGAGAATGGAGCCCTGAGGGACACCCATTAGTACAGGTGACCCGGAAGAAGTTTTACTATTGATAATAACTTTCTGCATTCTATTACTTAAATTTGAAATAATAAGTTTAAGTGCTGTGTTCTCGACACCATAGTACTGTAGCTTCCTGATTAATGTCTAATGGTGAACGCAGTCGAAGGCCTTGGAAAGGTCACAAAATATACCCAAAGCATCCTCTGAATTCTCCCATGCACAAAAAATATGTTTAATAAGCTCAACTCCAGCGTCAGTTGTCGAGCGACCCCTTGTAAAACCGAATTGATTTTTATGGAGCAA